CGACTGCCAATGTCATCCGTTTCACAGCTGAAAGCGTATTTCTGATTGCCCCCCAGTGTCCGACAGCGGCCGGGACCCAGACCCTGCTCTGCGTACTCCCCGCGTCAGCCTGCGCCTGTTCAGCTCAGCTCAGGGACGTGAGGGTCCCAGCGAGGGTCCCCCCGGGGAGCCGGAGGGGAAAACACGTGGCAGAGGGCGGCGGGAGGGTCCCAGCGGGGGTCCCCCCGGGGAGCCGGAGGCGAAAACACGTGGCAGAGGGAGGAGGGGGAACCGTAACCAGCCCGACTGGGGCACGGTCCCCGTGCTGAGGGATGCAGGAACCGCCAGCACCCCACAAACCCAGCCCTTTATTGGTGGTACCATGGAAAGGAAAAGGAAAAGGGGAAGGAAAAGGAAAAGGGGAAGGAAAAGGAAAAGGGGAAGGAAAAGGAAAAAAAAGGAGCCCTGGGAGCGGGCACTCACCCAGACAGGAGGCACCTCCTTCTGCGCCCGGCTGGGCCTGGGCTGCGCCGCTCCTGCAAAAGCCAGAACGGCAGAGTGGGGTCTCGGGGGCTACGGAGGGAACACGCGCCAACACATGGCGATTCACTACTCATGGGAGGAAAGAAACGCAACGTACTTTCCTTTCGACTTTAAAAGGAGCCCTGGGAGCGGGCACTCACCCAGACAGGAGGCACCTCCTTCTGCGCCCGGCTGGGCCTGGGCTGCGCCGCTCCTGCAAAAGCCAGAACGGCAGAGTGGGGTCTCGGGGGCTACGGAGGGAACACGCGCCAACACATGGCGATTCACTACTCATGGGAGGAAAGAAACGCAACGTACTTTCCTTTCGACTTTACGTGGCCCGTGGGAGATGCGTTCACCCTCTGGATAAAGGTCCTGAGGACGCTGCGGCATTTGTAGAACTGGGCATGGCATTTCTTGCAGACAAACTGCGGCAGCGCGGGGTCCTGCCGCACCGCCACGCCGACCAGCCGCTGGAAGTCGGCAAAGAAGACCTGATCCACGCGGCGCTGCTTCTCCGAGTTCTCCCCCATCACAGGCACCTTCCCGAACACATTGCGCAGGCTCCTGGAGGAGAACTTCCCGTGGCAGAGACGACAGTACCCGGTGCTCAGGGCTCTGCCAATTCCTGCCGGAGAAGGACCGAATACAGCCGCTGGGCGCCTGCCGCC